AATGAATTGTAATAACTTATTATGATATCTCATCTAGTGTAAATATCAGACCACATTTTAAAAATGCCTAATACTTTGGTTTGTGACAAAATACCTGCTAAACATCAGAATTCTGACATTAGCATTTAGCTTAAGTATGGCCTAACAGAGCCGCTAGCATGGCTGTAGGCTCTTGGTCTTTTTAGATTATGTTTTTCAGTTCCTCCATGTATTACCTTCTGTATTCTGAAGAACTTACTTTCAGAAGAAGAAGTGATATACAACTAAACTGTATTATCATTTTTATTATATTCAAGAAAACTGACTGTAATATTGGAAGTTTGGTGGTCTCCTTATGATGGCACCCTTTCTATTGGGCATACGGTTCTCTCTCCTCTCTCTGCAGTAAGGATAAAACTAGAATGAAAACCCCAGACATCATTAACAGAGAATGGTAATAAATAAATAAGAAGATTGCTACTTTAACATTGGTATCCACAATCAAAGAAATACTGGTACTAACTGAGACAGGCTTGATCAAAGCTGACAAACCATAACAAAAAGGGTAATACACAAGTGACAATAACACTTATTTTAGTGAGAAACAGATAAGAGTAAAAAAGACAGAAATGTTGATTTGTCAGCTATCGGGGAGAATAAAACAAACAAGGTTGTCAGTACTTATTTCACACCTCAGGTCTCCACTGAACAATAATTCTCCATTCCTTATTGGAAATACTGTGTGCGTGTATGCTTTTGATCCTTTGTGTGTGTATGTTTGTTACTTTCATGGATCCAACACTTCACAAGACGTCACAAATAAATTACTCTCCTAAAAAATCAAAAAAGAGAAAAATTACATTTCACTTCCAAAAAGGTTGAGTCTCATATAAAGCCCCTGGTCTCACCATGGTTGGAACTGATAACAGTAGGCTATTTAGGGCTCACACAGTTGCAATGAATTTGAAAAGGCTTTACATGTAGTGCATTCGCTTTGTGATACTTGCTGTGAGTAGGCACCTGGATGGCTTAGTGTTTAAGGCAATGGACTTAACATCTAATGAGTAAACACCCACCTGGGTTTGGGCCCCACTCCTGGTAGATATATGTATGTGGGTGTCTCTTGGACATTTCCTTTAAGAACTTTGGGGAAGTGAAATGAGTGTGTTACCAAATTTAACCTTGAGTGATTAGTTGAGACAACCTTCGCAAATCAGTATCCTTAACAGTAAAGTAACCAGGATGGTGTACCCAAAATGCAATGGACACAAGTCCTCGGGGGTTAAAATCCCACTCCTTGTATTGTGTTTCCCCGAATCCTTCACAGGTAAATTGTGCTGTATGTCAGCATTACCAGGATGGCCGAGAAGTTAAGATGTTAGACTTAAGATCCCATGGGCACATGCCCTTGTTTGTTCGACCCCCTCTCCTGGTATTGCGTTTGGCCGTGTTACTTTCTTCATTAATGTTGATTTGTCTTTCACAGGTTTCAGAAATTGATCTTTGATAATTTAAGGTTAGCCTAACATACAGTATATCCAGAGGCTCTTTTCTTACCGATAAGAGTAGTGTATTTTTAAGGTATGGCTTAAAAAGTTTCTCAAAGTCCTTCAATTGTTCTTCGCAGATTAATTGTACTGTAGGACTGTTTCCACTACTAGGATGGCCGAGTGGTTAAGGCGTTGGACTTAAGATCCAATGGGCAAGTGCCCTCGTGGGTTCAAACCCCACTCCTGGTATCCTGTTTGACAGTAACGCTTCCATCTTTACCATTGACTTTCAGAAATTAATCTTTGAAAATTTAAGGTCAAACTCATATATACCCAGGAGCCATGTTCACAAGAGGTCTTATCTTAACCACTAGGAGTAGTATATCTTTTCAGTAAGACTTCGAATCGTTAAGGTGTTGGACTCATGATGCAATAGATGCATGTCCTTCTCCAAGATCCTTCAGTTTAGAAAGCCATTGATCGATCAAGTGTACAATACTGTACTGCTGGACCTAAGATCTTATGGGCATGTGCTTACATGGATTCAAATCCCTCTCCTGGTACAGTAATTGAGCACAAGAAGTGTTTGCTACATGATTTCATTCCTCATAAGAATATCTGGGGTTGATGAGATTTGTTCTTTTTTGCAAAAGCTTAGTGTTTGACAGTGCAAGATGAGGATATTCCAGTGGACACAAAGAGAGATCAGATTGCATCTTACTTCACTTCTTGTGCAGCATTAGTGAGTGCTACAACCAAACAAGTATTTAAAATGCATGGCCTATTGTGGTTAGTATGTTAACAGATTAATCTTTAACACAGAGCCTTCACATAAATGATTAGTTGAGCTGTTTGGATTCTTAACAAATCAACATGCTCTTTACTTCAAAACTCTGAAATGGTTGGAACAAATAAATAACAGTAGGCTATTTTGCCCTCACACAGTTGCACTCAATATGCAATGAATACATGTCCTTGTGGATTCAAATCCCACTTCAAGGATCAAGTTTCCCCAAGTCCTTCAATTGCCATACAAAGATTAATTGTACTGTCACTCTAGCAGCGTTACCAGGATGGGTGAGAGGTTACGGAGTTGGACTTAAGATCCTATGAGCAAGTGCCCTTGTTTGTTCGACCCCCTCTCCTGGTATTGCGTTTGGCCGTGTTACTTTCTTCATTAATGTTGATTTGTCTTTCACAGGTTTCAGAAATTGATCTTTGATAATTTAAGGTTAGCCTAACATACAGTATATCCAGAGGCTCTTTTCTTACCGATAAGAGTAGTGTATTTTTAAGGTATGGCTTAAAAAGTTTCTCAAAGTCCTTCAATTGTTCTTCGCAGATTAATTGTACTGTAGGACTGTTTCCACTACTAGGATGGCCGAGTGGTTAAGGCGTTGGACTTAAGATCCAATGGGCAAGTGCCCTCGTGGGTTCGAACCCCACTCCTGGTATCCTGTTTGACAGTAACGCTTCCATCTTTTTTCCAGACGTGACCAAATTTGGACAAGATGGTGGAACTCACGGCCGTGTGTGGAGCTAGCTAGCTTGCTTAGCTTAGGTGCATCTGTAATTCACGTTAATTCAGTCATTTTAACAGGGCTGACAATTTTGTCTAGCGAACAATGGTGCTGGTTAAATTTACACAGTGCCGTGGGTACGAGTCACTCTAGCCTGATTGACAGGTTGCCATGGTAATGACTTGTCAATCATGGGTCCCACCCAGAAGCATACTCTGCTTTCTGGAACCGGACTTCTTTTTGCAACCAGAAGAGTCGCCCCCCTGCTGGCTGGTCGATAGATAGGCAGGTTTCAGGGACTTCCGCATTCACATCTGTTCGCTGACCGGAAGCTTCCCACTTGGTTAGAACCCCACTCCTGGTATCGTATTTGACTGTGTTCCTTTGCAGTGGTTTCCTTCTAAACTATTGATTTGTACTGTATGCTCGTCATCTCTGCCAGGATGGCTGGATGATTAAGGCGTTAGACTCATGATGCAATGAATACATGTCTTTCTGTGTTGAAATCCTATTTCTGGTATTTAGTGTCTTTTAGATGTGACTGTGTGTGACACAAGGCATCAGGATGCCCAAGTCGTTAAGGCGTTGGACTTCAGACCCAATAGGTAAATAAATACCCACGTGTAGTTTCATCTACAAAATAACCTTCTAGCTTAATGACAAGCTCAAGATGTTTACATTGTGCAAGGGATGTGTCTTGACAAATACCTTTGTGTAGTCAGTTCTGTTGACCATTTCATGGGAGTAATTAGTTATTCTCAAATCAACATACTGTTTTACTTATCATCTAAAACTATAGTATTTCAATGAGCATTGATAATCTTGTTTCAGCTAAAACAAAAAAAGGTTACAGTAAGGTAACCAGTATGGTGGACCCAAGTCCTTGTGCGTTCAAATCCCACTCCTGGTAATCTATCTTTTTTTGTAAGAAAAAATGTAAGAAAAAAAGTCTTTCAATTGCCCATCACAGATTAATTATACTGTACATCCAGTTAGTTCCTTCTATACTGCTGACTTGGCTTTCACAGGCTAAGGAATTGATGTTTCACAGGCATATATATACAGAGACCATATTCACAAGGGTTTTTATCTTACCAATTGGAGTTGCATATCTTCTTTGTAAGAATTATGTGTTTCATATATGATTACATGGGCCAGTGGCATATTCACAAGGGGTCTTGTTTTACCACTATGAGTCCTTCTAAAATGCACCTAAAGCCCGTAACTAAGAGTTTCCTCTTAAGAGCGATTCACAAAGCTATTCCTCACTAACAGTTGATTTTAGTGAGAACCCTAAGCTAAGAGAAAGTATGCTGCTTATACACCTTTATTTCAACTATTTTGTTTTGATGATCTTGATTAGCTTGTTGGACTGATAACAACATTTTATTACATTTGTGGGTGGTTACAGTAAAAATGCAATAGACCTTATGGGTTCAAATCCCAATTATGGGAGAAGAATGTTGATCACTGCACATAGAGAGATAATGTCTATTGTCATAAGGTACTGAAGGCTATTAGCGCTGTAAAGCTTGAATGAGAATGAGCATAAAAGGCTTTTAATTCAGTGCAGTCCAAAGGAGTATGTGAAAGCAAAACAGCTGCGTGCCTACTACAGTGGTCAACAAGCATTAAAAGTGAAAAACGAAATGTATTGTATGGTGATGGCAGTTTGGAAAACTGCAGTGTTTGTATTCTTTATGTTTCACCCTGACATTCCAACCATAAAAAATAAACGCTTCTCACAGACTACTGCAAAGCACAGTGCTTTCTTGGGAGGAAAAGCATTTACATCTGTGCCAAATGTTTCATATTGAACACTCCCAGGTATTCCAGAACCATATTCCCTGAATGATCAAATGCCTGGTACATTTTATGATTGAAACTGCACATGACTGTGTATCACAAGGAATATATTGGTAAGTGTATCTGCATTGGTGGCTCAGTAATGCAAGAGAGTAAAATTATGGTTTGGTGGTAGGCCAGTGAGATAGGTTTTGGTGGTTCTGACCTGTCAATGATGCCACACATGTCGATCTGCAGCTGGCTGTAATTTCCCAGGAGTCTTTGCTGCACCATGATCAGGTCCACTGGCTGGTTCTCCACGCTGAGGAGACGCATGCAGCCCTGAAAGATGTTGAAGGGATTTGTACATTCCTGACTGTCGTCTTCAGGAGGACAACCTGGACAGGAAAGTAAACAGAAAGTGACATGACACCAGTGTTTAAAATGCACTATCAGGGTTAAAATCTATTGTGATATACTAAAGAGTAATATTAAGGGAAACTGTGTTTTACCACGCAGAGGGTTGAGCTGTGATTTGTGGTGGTTTGTGCATTTTCAAGAGGCTAGAATAATGCAAATATAAGCCAAGCCTTGATCAAAGGAAGATGGCTATTTCTTAGAAGTCCATTTAATGTGTGTGTAAATGTGTGAGTGTGTATGTGCAGGATGATAAAAAGCCTAAGGCAGTTACATGCTTGGACTGGAATATTGCTGAGCAAAAAGAAGACAAAAAAAGATGAGATTTAAAAAAACAAATGAGAAAGTGAGGAAGCCAGTGGAGACTGAAACAGAAAGAGAAAAAGGAAGAGAAAGAGGAGAGAGAAAGGAAGGGGGGGCAATATGACAGAAGGACCGAGTAAAGGCAAAATGGGAGGAGGGGAGAAAAGAGAGAGGCAAAGATCAAGCAGACTTAATAACTTTCATTATAAAATAGCCACAAGCTAAATTTGGCTCAGTGCACACCCAACTGTAGAAGTGAGTACTGACAACATCAAATGTACTGTACAATAAATAAAAATGTCAACAATATTCAAATATTAATACACATCTTTCAGGGCAAATATGATTCTCTAGCAATCATTTTTTAAGTTCATATAAAACCATAGTGAATTCAAAAAATTAAATAACAGGTGGATTACATATACAGCCTGGGCCTTGGCAGACATCAGGATCAAAAGGGAAAAATTTCATTTATATTCAGACATAAAAAGGCATGCATCGAGAAATTCACAAATGAGGGAAATTCAATGAATCATTTAGGTGAAAATGCCTAAAAATATGAAAAAGTAGAGAATGAAATATAGCTTGTCTACCACAGACCTACTGCAAAATGGAGTAGTAGAACAGTAATCATGTGAAGCAAAACAACTGACTTGAAAAGTGATTGATGCTCTACCCAGATTTTCTACTGTTTGAATATCCAATGAATATTAATTAAAATTTTACTGAGGCATGTCAAGTATAATGATGTTAAAGATTTGCCTGCTTGCTTTTCACTTCAGTATACTGTAACGGCCCAGTTATTGGCACCTTATACAGCTTGATAACAGACTCTGACATTATATGTTTCACTCTTACCACCAAAGAATAGCTGACTTCCTGCAGTGACGGAGGAGCTGTCATGAGCAACGCCTCCTTCTTCTTTATCTACAGCGATGGTCAGGCGACCTCGTCTGGAGCTCAGCTCTACTGAATGCCACTGACCATCATTCAGAGCAGAGCCTAGAAAAACATTTAATAATAATCATAATTATATCATGTGGAATTTCATTTATGTAGCGTTTAAAAACAGTATTACAAAGTTTACAAAAAGACTTAAGCATAAATTGATTAGAGGGGTTAAAGTGAGGGGGTTAAGGGTTACATTAAAGATTAGACATTAGGAGTTATAAAGTTATATGTATGTAGTGTTAAGATGTTCCTTTTAGGCATTGTAACAAGAGTTAAGGGGTTACAAATCAATTTTATAGGCTGTTAGACTGACCTGCGCTGAGCTCCAGCAGCGCCCTGCCAGCTTTATGGATCTGTAGTCGGAGTCTGGCTTCACTCAGGTGCAGCCAGACCACGCCCCCTTCCTGAGGCAGCATGAAGGTGAGCAGAAGCCCCGCCTTGTTCCACGTCCTGAACTGGAACTCCACGGATATGCCCGCTGAGGAGGACGCCGTCGTTCCCGGTAACTGGAGGAAGCTCTGGGGGCCGGGGAACGTCACGGCAACGGAAACTGGCTCAGCACAAGAAAAGGTCACATTGCCCTAAACATGCAGAATGGAGGAGGAGGAGGTGGGACAGAAAAAAATGATTACTAGAGAGATAAACAACATAAAACATGAATATTAATCAGTTGCAGAGGGCGTGTCGATGTGACCTCATGTCACAATGATCTCATCAGCAAGTCTCCTTGAGAATAAAAGGCATGCAAACTGTAAATAGAAATGTCACCCAGCTTAGAGGCGTGGAGGGAGGAGGGTATGTATGTGAACAGTACTTTATAGACATCTCCGTTGCGGCCCATTGTTTTGAGTAGTGGTGATGACACCAGGTCCGTTGCTAAGGCTGCAGCAGTAATATATTACAGTCCCGGCTCTCTGCTGGGAATATCAGTCTGTTATCTTTATAATACTTCGGAAACACAGATGACATCTAGAAGCCCTTTGTTGAGCTGTTAAAGTGATATATGGAAGCACACTGTGGAGGATGCAGCGCCACTGCAAAATGTAAAGCTATAAAATCCCCCAAAAGCCATTCACTAACAGACGCACACCAAAAATCTCCCTCATACACCTATACACACATAGATCGTTGAATGCTCTACTTCTGCATCTACATTTTGTTACCATGCCTTTAAGAACGGCCATAAGTGCTCTCTATATTAAAACTATAACTAATAGCCTGTATTAGATCTTCAGTCATGCATGTGAATCTCTGAAGCTTTTTTATCAAGAATCTTTGCTTCTCTGCTCTCTGCTCCGTTACTGTAATGAGAGACCATTTATTACAAATGGTTCAGCGTTGCTCTCCACTGAGTTTGGGCCAATCATTGTCATTGTAGAAAAATCTAAAGGTTCTATTGAAAAAGACAAGGAAGCGTCAGCATCCTTGTTAGGCGCTCGTTTGCTTTGTTAACCAGCCAGTAGCTCATTATCAGGTGATTTCCAAGTGCTCCAAGCATTTCAGCTTGTATGAACTCCACTGCATGTAGACATGCTGGTCCAGTTGCCCTTGACCTCAACCATCGTTGGATAACTATGACCTGGATGACTGAGTCTGTCATCATCACATCGGAGGAATAAAAAAGCAACTCCTGCAACTGTTCATATATTATGTCTGCAGATGCAGAAGTATGTGCACAGCTGAGTTTTGCCATTTAAGGTCTGACCTATTCACTCCCAACAAGCATATAAACAAAGTGAAACATTGGCATTTGACGATTAAATAAGAGCACTGTCCAATATTCATTCTTATTTTAGCTCCTTTTCGGTCTCAACCCACTTCTCATGGGAAATATCTGTCTCTTTAGCTGCTAGATGTTTTATTTTCCTCACTAGCTAGTTGCTAACATCGTCTGTGTGCTGTATGGTGCTGGTCAAGCAGCAAAGTATGCTCCACAAAACCAAAATACTATGCTAAAAGGCAATCAAAAAAGCTCACCGGTGCTGCAAGGTTGGCTGATAATTCTCTTTGAGTGGGTGCAACCTTGCTCTGTTTGGGACTGTGAGCTTTATCGGAGGTGCTGAAGTTAACATCTGTGTGGTTTTGTGGAGAGATTTCTGCCTATTCAGAAATGTTGTTGCTTTTTCCAAATGGTCTGAAGGGGATACTACCAGCAGGTCAAACGTAATTCGCAATATTAGTATAGGGCAGGTAAACTTAATAATGATTTTGAATTCACATTAAATGATGAAGTTACTCTCTTAAAATTACAACTTTTTTCTTGACATTTTGAATGGGCAGGACATTTTGAACATGAGCTGAAAACCTGCTGAAACACAGGAGCTATTAAATTCCAGGAGTTTCTAACTGAATTCATTTATCTTTGAGGTGAAAAGGTGCCACAATCACATTTAAAGGAGTCACTTACCCAAACAAAGACACAAAGAAGGGGGAAGACTAAATCACACTGCATGTGTGCTGACTCAGCAGGAATGATATTACAAGAGAAAAGCTGATCTACAGGAGAGATCTAACAGCAACACAGAGTACCTGAGAGCCTTAGTGCATTGTATTCCATTACATTTTGAATTGTCACCTGCCGCCTGAATTTTGTGTTTCGCTTCACATAAATAAAAACATTTCCATCATAAATTGGTGCAGAATCAAAATAAAAATATAATAATGAATTAGTGCAGACAAACTCACCAGAATGCAGGAAATGAACTGTTTAACGCTCAAATTTCTCTTATAATTCAGCATTGAAGATTTCTTAAAAATCTCGTCTCAATCTCGTGAGCTGTGTCTCGTCACACCCCTAGTGTTTATGGTAAACTGTACTCACCACTACAGCAACTTGATGGTCATTGTGTTTAGCTAATTCTATGAGGTTGAGGCCGTTGTACAGCAGGTTTTCCAGGCAGCCATGAAAGTTCCTCTTGGAGACGACTGGTTTCTGAGAACGGAGGTCCAGGACTGCCCCTACACTGAGCTGTATGGAGACAAAAACAAGAAGAAGAATGAAATATATTTGCTGTTTTAATGGATATGCATATGCTTTTGTATGTTTTTGTTTTTGTGTCAGACTGGTGTGTTTCCTCACACCTGCTCAACGTCCCAGTGGCTGAACGCAGGGATTTGAACCCTCTCTGTGTGTTTGTCCACAGTGAGGTTGAGGTGAGAGCTGCGCCGCTCCACTGCTAAATGGTGCCAGTGTTGATCATCTAACAGGCTGCCGAGGGAAGCAAGACGCCGGGGTTCGGGGGATGAAGTCCTACTTGGAGGAGAAGATGCTGAGGAGGAGGAGAAGAAGGAGGACCAGAAGGGTGAGTGGATAGGAGGTAAGACCAGCAATGAAACAAGAGCAAGAGAAAAGAGCAGGTGAAGAGGAAGAGGGAGGTGACAGACAAGAAGGCAAAGGAGGAAGGGAGGGTGATGATTGGACAGAGGAAGGACATGAAAACAAAATGAGTGAGTAATGGGAAAGAAAGGGAAGGCAAAAAATTGGAGAAGAGGGCATTCAGAGGAAAACAAAGATGAAAAGGGGAAAGATGAGGAGAAAGTCAGGTGACAAGAAGTAAGGGAACGTGGAGTAAAGAAGAAAGGGCAGGAACAGGGAGGATGTAGAGGTGTATAGAGAAGGTGAGGAGGAGGAGAGAAGGTGTCAAACCACAGGAGGAAGATTAGATGAGCAAAGAGAAGGTACAGACGTCAAAGGATGAAAAAAAGCCCCCGGATGGAGGAATCAAAAAAACATGAAGGGGAGGAGGGAAAGGATAAAGACTGTTACTGAAGACCAATCACACAGTGAGAAATGGAAATAACAGAGACAGTTTTCAATCAGCACATCACCATTCTATCATTTGCAAAGTCTGAACTCCACATTCAAAAGGAAGAGAAAAAACCTTATGCATGAAAGGAGACAAGATAAAATGAAACATTAGCTTTCTTCAAGTTATTTGTCTTGTTTGTTCTTTCAGTGTTATTCTGTTATTCTGGTTATTTAATATGTAGGTTTGCTTCTATTAGGCAAGTAATTTCTTTCTTTTTAGATGTGTAATGTGCTTAGCTGTTTTCTCCGTTTCTATGTTTAGTCATCTGATCTGACAGTCTGTTTGTCATCTTCTCATTATCTCACCGGCAAGTCTGCTTCTTTCGGACAATCTGACCTGGTGTCGAGGGAACGCAAGCCCAATGGCAGCTACAACACACCAGCCTCCATGTTGTGTCTAAATATTTCACTTTACACAGTATCCCACAGAGAGGATCACGCCGAGGTCACCCTCTCTCATCTCATTAGGGACTACGGGATAGCTGCACACTGAGAACTAAAGCCAAATATGTGATAATCCCTAATGTAGAAGAAACAAAGCGAGACATCATTAATGATAGATGAGCACCAGCCGGTCCAAATAAGTAGATCCATCCCCCCAAAGTACTGGAAGAGAAACTTTGTGTTTCTGCTGAGAGAAGGAACTGTACAAAGAGCTGAATACAGTCAACCATTAAAAATGTATTAGATTTTCTTCAGGGAGAGACAATTCCAACTTCAAAGAGAGAAACAGAGACAGTTTGGAAGATGATGGACAAATGTATCTTTGATATTTCAGCTCATTTTGTGATGTGATATATGTGACTGCAGCTTGGGTGAGAAAAACAACTTCATCCAGAGAGAGAGAAAGTTGAGACGTGGACCTCATGAAAAAAGAGAAGTCTGTCCTGTCAACACTTTTATTGTGCTTTGATTACAGTCTGGAATATGAGAGGAACGACAGCAAGACTTAAAAACAAATCAATGGCATTGATAAATGGAACAATGGTTGTGTTGCAGGAAATATAGAAGAGATGAGGATTGCCGTATGATGGAATCTACTCATATTGATATATAGAACCATCTCTAGCCTTCTCTTCATCTATCGGTCTGTATTTTCTTTGTAGTTTGCCAAACAGGGAATCGCCAGCGTCGATTGATGTTGTTCTCGTGACAGACACTTGAAAAGCACTATTATTATTATTAACATCAGAATTTTGAATTGTGAAATACTGTATAACCATTAGCTGTCATTGTTGTCCGTATTATTAAATTCGTTTTGATGCTTTTGAAACAGGCCACAGTGCTGCCACAGATTTGATAATGCTGTTGAAATTCTTTTGTGACAAAATGGACCAATTAAAGTCATAGATTACTTAACTCTAGACTCACAATGCCAGACTACTTCTCACAAGGACTTATCAGGAAATTCTGGGAAGTATTGTGATAATGACGTGACTTGCTGTACTTTAAAACTCCCAAGAGTATTCATCATACAAATTCATCCAATGTCCTACCAGACAACAATGAGAGAAGAGAAAGAAGTATCCCTCTATGCTGTCAGTTAGCATTTTCTGATATTAGCTTCTTTCTTGTGACCAGGACCTGTTTTTTATGAATAGAATTTGATTCTATTTGAACTACAGCTCATGTTGGTAGAGCTGAATGTTGGCCAAAAGACACAGACTATGGTTGCACTGGTTTGGTTGTACAAGCAGGCAAATGTGTTCAGAAAAAGCTTTGGATAAAGTTTAACTAGTACAGTAGTTGAAGTTAGAACCAGCTTAAATTGTTAACGACTGCAGCATTTTCCCCTCATGACGGAGGGGAACAGATTGGATGTGCGTGTCCCAACATCACAGTGCTGATATAACTTTATCGATCTTCACATGTCCTCAAGACAGTATCACCTCATCGTATCTTGTCTGCTCTTCTGCGTGCTCAAAATCTGATTATGGAGGAAGACAGTGGCAGCCCTTATCAGAAAACAGGCAGGTATAATTATTTCAGAAATGGATTCCTGTCTGTCACTTAATCCGCCAAACTAAAAGTGATGAAATTTAAAATATGAGGAGCACAGGGAGATAATGACTTGGACAATGTAAACTAGCGTTACATACAAGTGTTCATTTCACAAAATCTACCTGCTTTTAGTTCTACTATAAAGCTAATAATGTCACAGGGAAGTCACATCCTGCTTCATCTAACAGCTGCTAAGTATCCGGGTTCAGCATTTTTTAAATCAGTATTGTAAATTGGTACTTCAAATTACTAAAATTCTGCTTTTATTGTGTGGGTAATATGATATGTGGTGAACGATAATCTACCAGTGCAGTGTCCACTTAAAATTACCCTGCAGTGCAGCAAAGTAGGAGACTGGTGACTTATGAAACGTGAACCTTTCCTTCACCCAGTGTGTGACTTGAATTTCATTAAGATTATGATTCACGAGTCAATACAAAGCTTTATCTGCTCCAGCATCAAGTGTAATACCACCGCTCTATGTTCTGGAAGATGTTTCACCAGTTATGGTGTACAAATGACAAAATGAGAAACACTGACAAAAAAAAAGATAGAAAATGTCTTCATATGGACAGTAGAAGTAGTGGTTGTAGTGTAATTTACGTCCACTCTCACTATATTAAATGATCGACTAAACTGAATAGAAGTTTTGCATTGTCTGAAGCATCATGTTTCTGGCTGTAAGTGTTTTGTTTCCTCCGTTATCCAGGACAGAGTTGCTGTCTCTGTGCAGAGCTGTTACTCAGAGTTGCCTCATAAAGTGACTGCATCTGCTCCAGGGGGTCAGACCTGGATGTGTTAGTATTAACAAAGCAGAGAGGCCTTATGGTCAATGCACACAGCAGGTGACCTAAATTACACAACGTGTGCCCTAAAAAACTCATGCAGAGAGAAAGAGAGAGAGAAATAAAGTAGAAAGTACGAGACAGGAAGTTGAAAGACACTAAACTGAAAAAGGCTCATGGCCACTTTTCAACAAAATAAATAAAAGAACACAAGAAAATTGGGAAAGAGTTGTGTTGGCATATCCAAACGACAGATATATAACAATAAAGGAAGAGGAACACAAAAGAGTTAATGGGGAATATCAAAAGGGTGTGTGTGTGTGTGTGTGTCAGGGACTGAGAGATAGGACAAGAGAGGAGCCAAAAAAAGGCAAATGGCCCCTTCTGATGTGGACAGAAATATAGCAATGGGAGATCTCTGGAGACAAAGACACACAACAGTAATTAGAACATAAAAGGAGGAAAACAGAAGTGAACAGGCACGGAACGAAGAGAGGCTGTTTGTTGTTTCCACTGTTGGTCTGTCGCAGCAGAAGCAGAGCTCCCTTCAATCTCTCTTCTAGAATTTCTTCTTCTTCTATACCTCACTTAGCTGCAGTCACTGAAGGGAACAGTCTACACTTAAATCACCGGTTTTCCTTGGACGTGACACAGACAGTTTTTCTAGGTGATCCACTTGACGATAAAAACGTTCATGGAATGTGTGGGTCATTTGTCAAGGTGATCCACAGATGCTCTCTGTGTTTAATTGGACATAGTTGTCTTAAAATGTCATAAACCTTCTTTAAAATATGAAGTGTGAAGGATGTGCTGTGTCATATATTCATGAAGTGAAGTCATTTCTAGTTTACATTCTGCGAGAGGAGAAGAGACAGAGGACAGTGGGCGGCAGATGGATAGAAGGGAGGATAAACGTATGATAGAGCAATAGATGAAGGCAGGTAAGGATGCTGGGATATAGAGCGTTTGTAAGAGGGTGAACAGAAGGAAAGATAAAAAGAAAGAGGAGGGGATGGGGGAAAAAGATTTGGGAGATGTCAAGTGGAGAGAGGGCAAAAAGATAGATGGATGGATGGATGGATGGAGAGAATATTTCAGCAGCCAGATGGGGTTCCCTGTGAGAGGTGAGCCATATGGTGATGATTCAGCATGGCAGCTTGACAACCTCTGGTTTAACCCGACACACACCCACACACACCCACACACACCCACACACACACACACACACACACACACACACACACACACACACACACACACACACACACAGAGCTCTGTAAGCCATGCATCAAGCCCTGCAAAGTCCGGCCCTAACACATGCTACAGTGAATGGGTAACATCCATCATGGCGGTAACTAGACAGAGATGCAGCAGCAGAGAGTGTGAGCCAAGATTTAAACCAATCAGACGGCAGCGTGCGTGTCGTCCATCTCACCCAACCACAACCAATCTAAAGTTATCTCAGAGTTTATATTGCCCTCCAATTTATACAGATGTTCTGTGCGAAGACAACCATAAAGAACTTCACATTACAAATTCAACAACAAACAACAAACTAAATGATCAAATTGTTGTTTTTTTTCATTGGATATCAGAAAAAAAGATATTGTAAGTAGTGGGTAAATACTATATCTGCTGGGTGGTAAAGATGGAAATGTCATGTTCCTTATCAGAGACGTATTTAGCTATTTTCTCATGGCCCACTAAATAAAGAAAATCTGGCACATGGTTATCTATTTTAATGAAGAAATGAATTCAGAAGCTTTGCCGTCTTCAATTAACTTCTCATCATCTTGGGAACAACTTTAAGTAAACAGGCACCAATTCTAATAACATTTAATATCTGGTGTGTTGTACCTTGTCTGAGCAGCAGCTGTAGCTTTCCTCTCTCTAACTCCAGACTGAGGCTGCGTCCTCCCTCTCCCTCTGCGTGCAGCAGTGTCCCAGAATTCCTCAGGGTTTTAAACTTCAGTGAGATGACATCTCTGGACGTCCGCCTCGGCCCGGGACTCAACCTGTACACCAGACTGCTGCTGCCGCCGTCCAAGCTCACCACATCAGAGGCTGAAAGACAAAACAGAGTCAGAAGAGACCACACTGTAACAACAAACCAAGAGCTTAACAGTGAACACATTCCTCTTGATCAGGTGACAATCTGTGTTCAAATTTCTCTTATTTATACATTGTCAGCGCGGAGGAACATACTGCAGTCCTCAGAGTTAATTTCAGGTGAGAGAAATATGATGATATGGTTTTCACAGAATTCTCCCTGTTGCTGTGATGTCGAGGTCGCAGCAGAGGATACAACAGACAGTGAGGACTGACTACGTGTTCCATTTATCACTTTTCATCAATAAAATTTCACCTCAGTGTCTCCGTTGCTCGCTGGGGATTTGGGACCAGATGAAGTGAGGTGAGGGGAGGTAAACAGTGTGTGTTGAGCGTAGGCTGTAAACAATGGATTGAAGATACTGAATTGTTTAAAAGGAGCAGCAGCTGAGTTCAGCATCAATTTCCTTTATAGCCGTACAACTAATTTCTCTGACTGAACGTTTTATAATGAACTTGGCAAGGCTTTGACTCCCTAATGCCAAGACTTACACACAAACACACAACCACTTTGCTTGCAGTAATGCTCTTATTGGATTGTACAGTGTATTTCCTGCTGATTACAGAGCAGCAGGATGAAGCTCAGCATTACTTCAAGTCTACTCTACCACTTTATATACTACCAAGCCAGTCTAATTCCTAAGTCCTGGATTACATTTCATGCAAGAATATTATGTTTTATCTGATTATAATTAGAATAGTCTGGTGCTTGCATATCGTTCTGTTCTGCTTATAGCAAGTGCAACAATATGCCTAACAGTCCAGGGAAACATCCTGTGGCAGGAACGTTAATTGGGTTTGCCTTTACCTTATGTTTAGTCCAGCAACTGACAAGTTATTAACCTCAACAACAAAAAGTTAATGTTTTGTAGCCTTAATTCAAACATGCATTCACCACCTGGGGGACAGTAGAAACTCCACTCACAATATTACCTTACAAAGTTTGTATGGTGAGCCTGTTAGCAAACAGTTGCCTACTTACACATCACAACAGATGCTGAGTTAACATTATTATTCATCTGAAATCGTGTTTTGGCCACCTGGTGAATGTAAGTCTAATATTTACTCTTCTTTTATCTCTGTTTTGGTCTCCACCAACTCCTGAGGGAAATATCTGGCTCTTTACCTAAACCTGCTCGTTGCTAACTGTGTCTGCTGCAGCTGGAAATCACCACTGATGAGAGCGCTGACACTGAACCAAGTTGTGATCTGGAAAACCAAAACAACCAGGTGTAAGACAGTGAAACACTCTGCGCTGAGGAGACATTCAAGCAGTTATGTGTATATGATCCTGTAAAAACATTGATTATTCTCACGGGTTTGGGTTGGTTGGGTGTGTTTTGTATTTGTTTCTGTGTTCATTCCCTGCTCTTTCATTTGTTTTTCTCTGTAGTATGTGTTACTTTGGTCATTTGTTTATTTGTCAGGTTGCCTTGTTATGAATTCATCAGTGTTCCTAGTATTGTTTTACTGTCTCTGTGTTTGTTACTCTTGTTGGTTTTTGTCAGCAAGTCACTTGTTATCTGTGTTATGTTTCACTTTGTGACTTTGTCTCTTGTCATGTTTTACTTCCTGTGCTTGTCTCCGATTGTCTGAGTAGTGTCACCTGTGTGTAATTAATTTCTTCCTCACCTGTGTATTTAAGCGGTTGTCTGTCTTTAAGTGGCTGTTTGAATTTAAGCTTGTTTCGACAGGAGTCTCTGTGTGTTTCTAGTTTAGTCTCTAGTTAGTCGCCCGTTTAGTTTCACGTCTCCCGGTTTCTTGGGGATTACTTTCTCATTTGGATTTTTGGACTTTGTTTTCACCTGCACTGTAAGTTTCACTGTTTTTGTGCAATAAACCACAGTAATCACCAGTACCATCTCTATGTCTGCATTTGGGTCCACAAGCTCTGTCTCCTGTGTTCAGCCCTGCCGACTGAACATAACAATTATAGCTGCTCAACCTGACAAAAGAAGTGACTGAGCCTCAGTTTTCTGAAGGACCCCAGAAGGGACGGTGGGAAATATTTTAGACGGGAAGGGAAAAAACACATACTTTTGTATTCTCTCGCAAAAAGCAAAAATATATTTTGGTTTGCAGCAACAACAATAAGACTTTTGGTCCAAATCCTTTCAAGATAAAAGCTCTATCTACACATGGTAACTGACCAGAAAACTTCAGTTTGGCACAAAACCGCTCAAATTGTATGTTACAATAGTCTTCATGACCTACACTCAGGGATAGACATTTTGACTGAATGTGCACATTGGCAGCATTTGCCTGAAGGAGGGTTTAGCAATGTGATTGGGCTCAGTGTCAAATTATTAAAAAAAATATTTAAAAAAAGGGGGGTTAAGAAAACTCCGATGTTCTCTTTAGATTTTCTTTGTCTGAATTCTCCTGTAATGGTAACTGCCAAGGCGGATTATGAAATGTTATGTTGTGTTGTTGCAATAACAGACCAAAACCCACAACAATTGGTAAACTGTTTGCTATTACAGCTATATTTCAGCTCCCTTCAGTATATTACACTTGCTTATCCGGGGAGGATTCGGCTGTGCATGCTACATTAGTTTACCACCAGGAAAACCAAGTGTCCTCCAACCGTCAGGCTGACTGAAAAACGTATTACACAAATGTATCTGCTGTGTTCTTGAATAACTTGAATATTTCCAAACCACTACAGGCTATTTATCAAAATCCATCTTTTAAATGTTTCTCATAATCCCATCTTCTTCCAGAGGGGACAGCACAATTTTAAGGAACACAAAATTGTGTTTTATCATAAATCATATTTCCATTTGGTGAACTAATATGATGGATTAGTGCCGGGAGGGTAGAGTGTTATGTTGCCTCGGTATACCCAGGTCTGGACCTCTAAATGTTTTGAGTATCTGGACTTTTTAGAGTTTTCGAGTAGTGGGTGTTGTACACCTTTTAGGCCACACCAGTGCAGGGCACACCAACGGGAAATGGGGGTATCGAGTGCAAGCAAAGCAAAATGCTTCGTTATTCTCACAAAACATAAAGAATCTAGTTTCTGACTCGGGTACATGAACGAAATCTGGTGAGCCCAGAAGCCCTGAAGCTGTCTCTTCGGTATTCTTCAGCGTACTGCAGTTTGGCATAAAGGGGGCAGCAAATACGTACGAGAGCTGGTATCTGCAGCAGTTGAGTTGACTCAGGTCGAGTACTGAAGAAAACATGATTCACACTGTACTCAAGTGAGTTTAAGGCTGTAATACTTTAATTTTGATGTCTGGCAGTTAGTTTGGTAACATATGAATGCGGAGAAGGCCAAAGGTTTTGTGTGTCTGTCTTTCGAGCATATGGCAATTGTGGAGGCAGTTTGTACCAGTGCAGACCCGGTACATATCAAACTATATATACTAACATATACTAACTAAGTATCAGTAGAAAAGAATTGTTCCTTGATTTTTTGGCCAGCACTATGATGAATATCTAATACGAGAACAGTCTGGACTCCAGTACAAGATTTGGGAACATAAAATAGAGATGATGTAAAAGTGGCGAACGCTGTGATGATCCAAAAGAACGACTCAACAAGTACAGACTGAAACATTTCAACAACTCTTGGATGGATTGCTGTGGAAATTGGTGCACATATTCCTGTCCCCCTCAGGATGAATTGTAATAACTTTGTGTGTGTGTGTTTGAATTTTGATTATGTCAGGAACTGTTCATCCAATCGACTACAAACACAGCAGGTGTGTTGCTGCGGACCCAAGGCTGCGTGATCTGGTTACAAAAAGAATCGAATGAAGTACTGGTTTGACTGCAGACGTTTCGATACTACTCGATACTGGACTGTTTCGGTCGGTACTTAAAGGTATCGAGTAGCGACACCCATCCCTACGGGGAAGACTCTTGGGAGCACAGCAGTGCGGCTTATATGCTCCAGAATGAATAAACTGAGTAAACGACAGTACAGCGTGAGCCGCTCAGGTACCCTGGTGGGTGCAGGGCTTATATGCTCCAATGTAGTAGTGGATTGTTGAAACACAGTTATCATCATCACGCAGGTTTGATATATGTTAGGAAAAAATGTGTTAAAACGGAGCTGTAAGAGTTTTATAAAGTTCTAAGGAAGTGCTGAATATCTAGCAGTACCTCCGCCGTTGTTCTGTTGCTTCAGTGTTATTAATGCTGTAGGACATGAAACCAATGTGAGACACATTTTGAACAAGCACTGCACTATCGAAAAAGCGCAGGGAGGCATCACATCGGTCCTTGTAACCGGGGAACGCACTAGTGGGAATAAAGCTGAAAAAATGAAGATCACAAGAGTTTTTGAAACCTGTTTATTTGTGTTGGCGTCATGTGTATGTCAACCCTTTGTTCTTGTATTATAAGAATCAGTGTTCAAAACAAACGTACTTTTTTTTCAAAGCTTCCAGTCAACTGATAAAAGGAGGACAGCTGCGGATAGAATCCCAGAGACAGAGAGTCCAAATGAAAATCATGTTTGCACATTAATATTCACTGTTAGATAAATCCATTTGAGCATATATGAAAATGTGCAGACTTTTTGATATTCATGAGCATGTTGTGTTTTCATGAAGGACAATATAGTGAACAACTGGTGAGGACGGAAATCGGGGCAAAGATACCACAGGGAGTTAATGCCGAGAGGCTAAATATTACACCTGCTCCTTCAACTGAGTCATGAAGAGGATGAAGAATGATGAAGAGGAGTCATATTCAGTGCGCATATAATGTATGTGAAGTCACGCTCATCGTAAACTCTGACAAATTGAAACTACTACTAACAACATGCTTTTAATGTTTAAGTAGGAACAGGTTGATATTTGTTATATTGATATTTGGCTCTAAGAAAAGAGTGATACATTTTCTTTCTGTGTTTGCCAAGATGGTGTAATCACTGACAAACACAGAATGAGAAAAGGGCAAAGATCGTTTATTTGTGGAAATAAAGCACAACGTGATGTTCGTTTATTTCATTGTGTTGATGCCAGAGCTGATGCCACTGCCAACATAAAGGGGCACAAAGGAAATTGTGAACACAATGTGTTTTGTGTGATACATGTTGTTCTCACCGTTAATAACAGAGGTGAGAGATTAAATCAGTTGTGAAATATGAAAATACTTCTAATGAAAGGCTGCCGGAAAGTGTTTGTCGCTCTTTGTATCTGTGGGCAATCAAAATATAATTAACTGGTGTGATATGTAATGTTTCTTTTCTTTTTAACCAGATTAAATATGTTATGTATTGGCTAGTGAGATGTTGATTCTCTCTCCAAATACCCCATTGTAATGATATGTCATGGAAACTACATTTCCCTTTGGGACAGTAAACAAACTCAACAGGTCATATAGATAAAACCAGTCAGCCACCAGTGTCAAGGGCTTTTTCAGCAGGATGACAACTCTAGAGAGTCCGGTGAGTCCAACAAAGGAGAAAAGACTTACTGTAAGGACATCCGTAGGTCTCCAGTCGGAGTCCGATCCTCCCGTTGGGGTTCCAGTCCAGAGGAATGAGGCGGAGGAAGCGAGCGATCGCCGGCTGCTGCAGCTTGTACTGAACCACACTGTCTGCATTACTGTTACCTGGAAAAGACTGAAAACACACAAACACATTGAGGAATTGTTAATTATGTGTCTGCATTATTGCTAACTGGAAAAATCACATATAAACAGTTCAGCACAATTACTTTAAAAAGCATATATCTCAGACTAACCACAGCTGTTTAAATCAAATGCAACCCAACTAAAGATAGGATTGTTATTTAAATGTTTATTTAAACAAAGGCTGTGGTTATAATTCATTAAATAATAAATAAAAATCACTAGACAAATAATCAAACAAAAAGAATGGTTCTTTGATTCTAGTCCTCTAGTCATCTTTCTTCATTTAATCTCATCCATCTCAAAGATGCTGCACTTTGTGAAAGCTAAAAGAAACTTAAACTGAAAAAAGTTTATTATCAAGTCCTGCAATTAAAATAGTCGTTAGTATCCAAAGTATTACCAGCAAAAAGTACAAAATGTTTCAAAAATGTAAGTTCTGATTATAATTCTGATCTGATTAATCTTTTTGCGTACAAGTTAGCTCTGTTGTGTGACAAGTTGCAACTTTTTCCTTATTAGTACATGGTGAACTGTGTAAATCACAGCATGGATTTGCACAACTCAGTGGGGCTGTGGCTCAGGAAGTAAAGTTGGTTGTCCGCCAATAACACGGTTGGCGGTTTGATCCGCCAGATTCATTAACCTGCTTTACAATAAAATCTTCTTTTTTTGGACTATGAACAGACAATTGATTGGGTGTTTCTTTCTGACACTGGCCTGAATGCCTGATGGATCGCTCCCTTCCCATCTCTTTCTATCTCTCTCATCTGGCAATCTATCCTAATTACATCGCTCCCTTGAAGTTGACATGCAGGTTAACTGGCTCTCCCACTGCTCAATAAAAATGTAGACACACAATTAACTTGTTAATTCCTCTGTAATCATGAGAGAGTAGAGTTGGACCCCCTCATATGATAAGTAGACTACTAACTCATGGCCTTTTGGAACATTTTTAAAACCTCAGTGGAAGATAAATTCAGAATGAAAGGATGATAGATGTGAAGCGTCATCAAAATGAATTACAGCCCTTCTCCAGTACACCGTGCCTTATTCACAAGACTTTCCGATATCTTACATTCATATAAATCTAAAAACTGTAGTTTTAATGGAGGGAACTCTTAAGCTGACAAACAATTATAGAGGTTTCTAAAGGTTTCTTAAACTAACACCTAAAAAGAGCTGATGATTAAACGTTTCAACCTACACAATTCATCAGGCAAACGTCCACATGGGCCATACGTACATACAAAAAAATTACAGCTTAGATCACATGATACAAAATAACACCCACCAGTGTTTCCTCTACCACTGGTTTGGCGGAGCGGCCCCATATCAAAGACAGAGCAAGAGCTCATCACTTCAACAAACTCTAAGAAGTGCAACCACATGGACAGATGCAAGACGCGAACTTGTTGCAGACTTCGTGGCCGTGTGGGCGGAGTCAGATATTCCGTTTACATCCGGTCAAGCTTTGTAAACGAGGAGCGCTGCTCACGTGCCATAAATATGCTAATGAAACTATTAATTCTAAATGTATACTTTTATCTCCTAATTTTGACTTAGTAAGTTGACCTAATGTTGATTTACCCATTTGCACGGCTCACCTTTCTTCTTTATTTTTCCTTTTACTGGCATAAATGGGCTTGCACACATTCCTCATTTAAACCATTAGGTGATGCATTATTTAGTGTATATACTCAAGATGTTTCACATTTCTACAGATCATCATGTCAAGGAGACTTTTTAACTTTCTTAATGCAATGTGCCTTAGGCAGAGTAGAGATCCATCCATCGTCAACTGCTTATCCTGTGTACAGGGTCGCGGGGGGCTAGAGCCAATCCCAGCTGACATCGGCGAAAGGCGGGGTACACCCTGAACAGGTCGCCAGTCCACTCACATTCACACCTAAGGACAATTTTGGAGACACCAATGTATATATCCTGCGTTTTTGTTTGGATTCTCAATCAAACCTGACCTCCTCCCTTAGGTTTTTTTTGGTGTTATACAACTTTTCCAGCGTCCTTGTCAAGAAGAAGACACATGGGCCATTTAAGTGCTTGAATAAATGACCAATGCTTTTATGTTGTTACGTGACAGATACTGAAGAGGCAGATAAGGAAAGGAGACCGAATCTCATTTACTTCTACAAAGATGATGTGAATTCTTCAACAGCAACCTTTGATGAGCAAAAAAGAGTGAAAGAGACATGGTGAGAGAGATTAACTATGAATGTGAAGGACAGAATAGTAGAAAAGAATAAAGGCAGAAGTTTATTCAGTGAGTATCAAAGGGAAATGACAGAGGGACAAAATGAAAGGGAAAGAAAATCTCATGCTGAGAGTAAGAGGGAGAAAAGCAGGAGCGTCAGAAAAGGAGAAGAGGAAGTAAAGGGAAAGAGGAAATTTGAGAAGAACGGGAAAAAGTAAAAAAGAGCAGCACTCGTTTCGTCATCCCCAGCCTTCCAGGCAGGAGGAAACAAACCGATAAAGAGGAGAGAGACAATAAAGAAAAGATGGATTGCTATATTTTCAAGTACCCACAGGCTTCAGACAAGAGAAAAAGTGGAGAAGAGAAAACAGCATACTTCCTCCCCTGACTTCAGGCCTCTAAGGCAGAAGCCCAGTGGACGTTGATCCAACAGCTCTCCCATCACCTTTCTTCCTCTGACGGACTGTGTAAGATTGGCTGACTAATACACAGTAGTAGAGAAGCACTTTACTGTAAACTGTGCACAATCCCAGTCACATTTCAGAGTGTCAGATCAACATGTTTTTAAGCTGTGAGAAGCTGTTCTCTGCTCCCTCAGAGAAGTCCTGAGATTAGCTGGATTCCCTCCACATGAGGAAATTGCCTCGGCTCGACTTCTAATCAAAAGCTCCTCTCTGAACTGCTGTAACAGATGTAGTGTAATCCTGGATAAATGTCCACGCAAAAAGTAGGAAGTATTACACTTTTCCCATGTTTGTTGCACTGCAAGTGATTTGGTATAAGGCTCGCTGGGAGCATGCAGGTGAGAAACTGAAACATCTTTTGGCTCTCTGTGCTGACAGGATTCATCCCTGCGTTTGCTTCCTACACAAACAAGATCAAAACTACTTAGTATTCCTGTGGCTGTAGACTGAACCATGTTCCATCACTACAGTGGGACAAATACAAGTCCAACACGACACTTGTGTGACGGGAAAACACTGAAGGGGAGTTCTGTGTCTACCAGGAGGTGGGAGGTGACGCTTCACCGCTTCACCGCCTCTGCTGTCCTTCTGACGGATTTCTTCATTAATCAGTTCTACAGGGACAAGCTGAGCCTTTTCCCTTTCGGTCTATGCTGTGCTATGTTCCTGCAACATTCTTACTCATGATCAGTGGTGGAAAAAGTAATAAAATGTCCTGCTAATGTCGAAACATGATTAGTAAACATGATACTCAGGTAGAAGTAAAGGCCTTGGTGTAACAATCTTTTCAAGTAAGGATGTATTGACTGTTGGATTAACTGGATGTGACTTCAGCAAACGCTCATTAGTTAACTCTATAGTGAAGAGTAAATTGAGATCGGGAAAGAGATTGAGACATAAAGAAAAGGACGTCAGATAAAGGAGAGAGCTCAAACTGGATGCTTTTCATTGGGAAAAACAGGCAGGTCTATAAATCTTACAGACGTGCTGTATCTTCTCCAAGTTTCATGTCAGCAGGTGACCAAACTCAAGAGCTTTCTTCCTGTAGAGTTTGTTTGACTGTGCAGTAGGGTTGGGTATTATTTAAAATTTTACATACCAGTACCAAAACCAGAACCCTTAAAGTGATACCGATACAGTGTTTCAGTCGATACCTTGCATAAAATGCCACCTGTTGAAGCCATAGTAGTTGATTGGTGACCTATTATTATTTTTATTGTTGTTATGGACAAGCAATTTTTATATTATTTAATATTTTATTTTTTTCTTGTTTCAAATAACTGCTACATAAAAGTTGTTTAAGTTTAGGAAATTGTATCAGATCGCTCCTCATCCTAATTAGGTCATCCTCATGGGTAGTATTTATAAGGGAAAAGACTACAGCTTGCAATTTTTTATATTTGAATGAGAGAGGAGGAGTGAAATAGTTCAGTCACCAAATAAGTTGTGGGAAATAAATTTAAAGTAATTTTAGATCTGAGTGTTGAAAGTAAACAACAGAAAATTATTTTGTCTCTGTCTGCTAGTGAAACAACAGGTATAAGTATAAATCGAGTAAGGAGTCTGTTTAAACAAGTCACTAAACTACACTAAAGACACAAACAGAGGAAAAGAGAGGCTGCACGTCCAGCCAATCAAACCAACTCCACCTGAAGCAGCCGCAGCTGCAGCCGAGGCTCCGTGAGGAAAATCAGCTGATCGCTGCTGCGGCACAAAAGTGTTTAATTGATATGATGGAACGCAGCGATCGATCAGTGACGAGTGATGTGAACAGCAAATACAAATGTACAGTACCGAGGGAAAGCCAAGCTTGTGGTGATAAACTTGCAACAGTGACGAACGTGCCTGAGACCTCAGCCGAAGGTGAGGGGACTCAACGCATGCAGGAATGTTTTTATACAGTTTATGATGCAGGCACATAAGGAAAAAAAGGCTTACTCTTCTCTTTCTTTCTGTTTGTTGTTTGCGGTTTTGGCTGCAAGCAAAACCATGCAAATAGTCATTTTTTGCTGCGATCTGGTTACAAAAAGTATCAATTGAAGTACTGGTTTGACTGGAGATGTTTCAATTCCACTCGATACTGCGCTGTTTCGGTCGATACCATAAAGGTATTGAGTAGCGATACCCATCCCTAATGTGTGGAACTGCTTCTGTGTAAGATTGTCTCTAAAAATAAGTTTGAACTTTGAATCTTTAAAGCAAACTTTTGTGTGTCTCTGTGAACCTGAAGTTAAGGCTGCTGTAACATCAATCCATCGTCAACCGCTTATCCTGCGTACAGGGTCGCGGGGGGCTGGAACCAATCCCAGCTGACACCGGGTGAAAGGCGGGTACACCCTGGACAGGTCGCCAGTCCATCACAGACAAAGAACCACTCACACCTAAGGACAATTTTGGAGACACCAAATCACCTAGTCTGCATGTCTTTGGATGGCGGGAGGAAGCCTGAACACCTGAAGAGAACCCACGCAGACATGAGGAGAACACGCAAGCTCCACACAGAAAGGCAAGGGGCAACCAGAGTTTGAACTGGCAACCTTCTTACTGTGAGGCGACAGTGCTAACCACTGTACCACTGCACCAGCCGCAATAGTTTAATCCATTTGAAATTTCGTTTACTTTAAAATTAATTCTAAAAACTGTATATACTTTGTTTTTAATTACTGTAAAATTTCATCTATATCATGTATGGGTTGGAAGTCCATAATTGTCTTATACCAAAGTACCAAGTACCAAACCTACATACAGTGTATTTGTATGTATGAGCAATATTTTTTATATTTCCCATCAAAAATACTGGCAAGTAAAGAGACACATAATCTGTTATATATGACACAACCAGTGTCACTTTGTAGATAAACATGCTTAGTGCCTCTTTAAAAAGCCAAAGAGCGAGCAACACCATAGCCGCTAACTGTGGCTCAGGAGGTAGAGTTGGTTGCCCACAAATCGAAAGATCGGGGGTTCAATCCCCTGCCTCTTCCAGTCTGCAAGTGTCCTTAATCCCAACCTTATGTGTGAATGTTCATTTCTGTTTCTGATGAGCAGTGGGCACCTTAGCCTCTGCAATCAGTATATGAATATGGGCGAATGTGATGCTTTCAGTGGTCGGAAGACTAGAAAGGCGTTATGCAAGTACAGGCCATAAATAAATTGTGCCTCTTGACAGCCTCTCAGCTTGTGATCAGCAGCTAATGCAGCTTTATTGACAGGTCTGGAGAGTCAGCAGAGCTTCAACAATGGTCCATACGTTTTAAATGAAAAGATTAATTTGTGGTGGCTTGAGTTTACCTGTGCAAGATGTATGGAGCCACGTAGCACTGTACAGCACAGCCTCAACATGACAGCATCAAACAAAATATGATGATGTTCATTGGTCCCTCAGGGGAAATAGAGGCAATGCAAGAACAAAAGTGTAGCCATAAAAAATGAAGTCAGTGACGTAGTTTTGATGGAACTGTTTGTTTCAGTATGGACTCACCCCTGTACTGTCCTCCTGCCGGTACTGTTTCCAGTTGTGTCCCGTGTCGCTGAACATCAGCAGGTACGACGTCAGCCAATCAGAGCTGCCGTAGCGGCCCTGAGTAGCGACAGCAGTGATCTTGGTCCGCTCGCCAAGGCTGACCTCCAACCACTGGTACCTGTCTGACGTGAGAGGAGACCAACCTCCAGCTCCTGCAGAGAGAGAAAAACCAGCATACATGATTTATTCCATCAATCTGGGAGGAGATGAAATGAGCTTTGGTAGATGCTGGAAAATGGATTGCTTTGCTTGAACTTTCATTCTGAATAAAAATCACAATTTGCTGTTGTAAAAAGCAGAGTGAAGAAAATTGATTGAACAACCGCAAACAGCTTTAAATCCATTTTGAGCCTCCAATGGGATACAAATCCTGAGGAATTTAAATCATTTAAATTTGCTAAATGACCCACAGTGGCATCAGGCATGTGCTTCTTTTCATATCTCTCTGAGAAACACATGCATATTGGGAAATGAAAATACGCAATACAATCAGCATTTGATATTTCACTTGTCAAAGCAACTAACAGGGCTCCCTTACGGTCTCATCATCTGTGCCCAAAAATATGTAAAATACCAAAACAAATCAAGACAACCTATTTGTGAGAAAGTAGTCTGAATGTTTTTGCAATGCTAAGAAATAATTTAAATATTTCTGATTTACCTAGAGCTAGAGCCACCACAAAAACAACTTGCGCCTTAACCCATTCCTCAGTTTTTCACTAAATGTATTTGAAATGGGGTTTTTCAATGTGTTGATGAAAAGACTTTTAGATTTCACAATCTACAGTTCTCAACGCAACGGAACACCTTTGGGAGATTTTGGAGCGACATGTTAGACAGCGCTCTCCACCACCATCATCAAAATGTTGTGGACCCACCGCTGGCTAACTCAGGTCTATTCCAGGTTACTGTGTTGGCGTGAGAGTGGCGTCTGCACATGGCAAATAAATCGGATTAAAGATAAAAGCACAAATAAGCTGATATCATTTCCCACACACAGTCTAACCTATGAAAGGATGCGTTGCAGAGCATTGATTCGTTTTACAGTACCCCTACATGAGCGTGTTCTTCCTTATTTTCATCCATAAAGGAACTGTGTGGTAATGTATTGACTGGTTGTGCTGCAGGCGATCGATCAGAGTAAGAAATGTTTAAGTAGGGTTGTAACCTCTCTGTTGCAATATAGTAGAATTATATTTAGTAACATTGCATTAAGGCCACTTGTTGATGCATACTATAAAATGCAGAATTGGTAGGATAGGAGTATGTCTTACTTCTTATCTGAACCTTAAAAACTGTTGTGTAGCGTGTGTGTGTGTATGTGTGTGTGTGTGTGTTTTGTGTGTGGCTGAAGACTCAGAGCTCAAACACCAGATGGTTCTGAAGAAGGAGGCTGGTGACCAGAACCCCACTGAGCACTCACACTCACACAAACACAAACACACAAACACACATGCAGAGTGAGTGGCAGGAAGCCTTACGAAGAACAAACCCAGTGAAAGTCGGCTTTAATGCCGCTTGACTTTTAGAAAGACTATTCAGTTCTCTTGGTTCCAACAGCAGCAAGCCAATATTTAGCCCACCAGCTGCTGTCCGTACAAGCTGTAAGTTACAAGCACGACGTGTACAAGAGAACATGTAGAACAGGGACCAGACTATACAACAGTTCTTTCCAGATGGTCACATTGTCAGATCATGTTGCCTTAAATTCCTGCTGTGACTTGGCTGAGAGACGTGTCGACCTGCAAGCTGAATGACTTCTTCAAATGGGGCAGGAGGTTCCAGACAGTTCCTTGCTAGCTGTAAAAAAATAAATAAAAAAATTCTAGAATTTCCTTAAATTTTGGCGGGATATTTCCGACCCCTGACCTTTTCGACTCATGACAGCATCAGGCCCTTTTAGACCGACACTATTCCATGAAAAGATATCTTAAAGAACTACAGTACAGGTTTATATTATTACTTATGCTTGAAGAATTCAGAGGAGAAATGTTTTTAATCTTTACACACATAATATGAAAACATCTAATGGTCAGTCTGACGTGAAAATTTGTGAGCTAATTGGCCACAAGATACTGAAAGGTTTATATCACAATAAAAAATGGGCAAATTACTACATTTCTACATTTGATGAACCGCCCAATTAGTCTGTATGGCACTACCTTCAATTCTGTGACCCAAAGGTTTTAAATCAAATAGTGTTGGAGCATTCGTGTGTGCTCTGTCTGAATCTTGGGTACCAACATAAATCCTATACCAACAGATAACGAGATAAATTGTTTTTTTGTGGTAACACTAAGGTCTGACTGAAATCCTTTCTCATGTGTTGACCTAATACTAGTTTTAAATGGTTGTACTGGGGAACATATTTCCACCCCGGGTGTCATGTAAGTTCAAAAGGGCAAAAGTTGGAACAGCTTCTGTTGCGCGTCAAAAATGCCTCTGAACATTGTGTAGGCACAGGAGAAACACTCAGCAGGGAAAAGGAATCAGTGACGGTCTGGTGGCTGAAGGAGCCTGATCTTTAAAGAGCTAAAGGCCAAAGCTAATAAGCACTTGACTAACAGACGTGTCCTGCGATGGAATAACAGAAAAGAGCAGACACTCTGACCTTTACTCATGAAGATTAGACTGCAGAACAAAAGAGAAAGAGATCCAAGGGACACGAATCCGAGACAGAGAGGCGTTACAAAGATTTACTGTGTCCATCCTGACAGTGTAACTGAAACTAATATAATTGAGGTGAGCTGATGGCTGGCGGTCTGAACACTTTCTGTCACGGTTGTCACTTTAAATCAAAGAGATGTCCCTGTTTTCTCTCCCCCAGTGTCTGTCAAGGCACCAGATCTCAATACCCACTGAGAAAAGTAAAGAATAATGGAGGTCAGGAGTGTGACATCACTGCTCTGGCCAAACAGAGGCTGAACTGATCATAGGAGCCTAACGAATCAGGGAAAAGTCCAAGTGGAAATGTGGGAATGTAAAACCAGACCAAAAGGGACACATGCCACCTAAGTGCTAACACAGTGTTTAATATTCTGTTTTGTTTCATTTGTTTGGAAAAGTCAAAAATATTAGATTTAAAAACACAAACTATCAAAAAGCCTGCGCTAAGGCTAAAACTACATCTGAATCTTTATAATGTAAGCAATGTTAAACAAATAAAACCTATACTACCAGGAGCTAAAAACACTAAAATGAAACTGATATGTTACAAAAACACAAACCAAATCATGCCTTCATTTCACCAGCATCTCGCTCTTAAAAAGTTTCTACTTCAGTTAACAGAACATTAATCTGTTGCAGCCATGACAACAATGATATCAGAGAAATAATCATAAAACTATGTCTCTACTGAAGCCATTAAATCTTAAAGGTTCTGCACACCCACACAGGTGTTTTCAATTTCTTCTGCTGCTTAGACCTCTAGTCAGGTGTACATTAGGCGGAGCTATGCTGCAAATAGACCTGTTACCCTTCAGATATTATGAACGGGTCAAAGCAGGAAAAGCCCATGTGTAAATAATAACATAATGGCTCCATTACGAGTCCCAGTAAGCCACATCAGTGAGTGAGTGCGCACAGGACCAGAACCCTGAATCGAGGTCACCTAAATGGAATCCAGCCAGTTATTAATTCCACCTGTGCCTTTTCTGCTTTGACACCAAAACAGTCCTGAGAACAAGTCTAATCAGGCAACATAAGTGACAACGAGGACCATCCTTTACGAAAGGAAAGGAGAGAATGCCGTCCCACAATTCCTTGCGGCGGCAACATTTAAAGCGGCGCACGTTCTCAAACTCAAATGATAAAATCCATCAACGACATTTAGCAAGATCCTTGCAATACAGACGCACATTATGATACTTTAATAAGACTCACAATTACCTTCTTTCTTCTGGTTTGTTTTCTTTTGACTTTTTTGTAATCTAATACTGTTTCAACACCGTTTCATGTTTCGGGTTGTTGAAATAAGCCATAAAGTGTTTTATACAATAAAAAAAAAATAAACCAACCATAATGGATAAAGGAGGTTGATTACCATGTAAGTTACCATTGGCTATTAACCCTTTTCTCTCTTATGCCATAACTTGCTAATATGCATATATCTTAAACTGTCAACAATAACTGAGACCCATGCGAGCTGTTACTAGTATTGTAACGTGATCAAAGTGAGGATAATGTTGCAGCGTGGAGCCTCAGGTTATGTACTGCAGCCTTCAGCAAATTAATACTTCAGTCACAGATGCTGACACCCTCGCCTTAATAAAGGCAAAGATCCAGCTGGATAACCTCTACAGTAGGCGTTTCCCACACACTGATTTATCTGTGGCGGCCTGCCACATTGTCAACGCTGATTTTTTATTGATTTTGTTACTATTCAAAATGGGTAAATTCATATTTTATGACAGAGTTCTGCGCAGTGCACATATTCTCTCAGCATCTCCTCTCTCTCTCTCTCTCTCTCTCTCTCTCTCTCTCGGCAGAGTCTGACTGTCATTCTGCGGGAAACACTGTATTTCCATACAATTGGGATTCATGTTGATAAATAGGGGTGGGCAGGAGGGTGAGTGTGAGCAAGCATTCTCAATGTGACAACCCTGTCCATTATTTAGTGACTAGTAGGCTACCTTATCTGCCTTTTTGCTACCTTGGTTATTAAGTAATATAGTCCACTGTGTTGTCCACCTTTAGATGGCCTGCATTACAACAACAGGGGGCGCAGTGTCAAAGATGCGCTTTTTGTAGTCCATCTTCAGAACATTGTAGTTTCATCACGGCAGGTCACGGCAGTAAAATGGCAACTCTAGCAGGTCTTCCAGCTTGTGCGGTGAAACCCTTACAAATGGTTCAGAACGCAGCAGCGCGTCTGGTTTTTCATCAGCCCAAAAGGACTCACGTCACTCCATTACTCAGTGACCTCCACTGGCTCCCCGTGGCCTCCAGAATCAAATTCAAGTCACTAATGCTTGCATACAGAGTGACTAATGGGTCTGCACCATCTACCTAAACTCCATAATACAAACGTACGTTCCTTCTCGGCCGCTACGCTCCTCCAACGAACGCCGCCTGGCTCTGCCATCCCTTCACACAAAGCAATCCCAGTCCCCGCTATTCTCATCTGTGACACCACGACGGTGGAACGAGCTAC